TACGCGTTTCTATGCAAATTGTACTTTTCTAGGCATCGTATATAAAGAGTACTGTAATTAATGGGTACATGAATAGGTTAGTTTCATATTCAAGTGGCATGTAAAGAGCGTTTGAGCATTGGTTCTGCCACCAAACCCCACATTCCCATGCTCAGTGCTAGAGCCTTTACTGGGTGGATGATATGGTTCTTGGAAATTTGTGCTTTTCAAGGCTTTTCTATGTAAATTGTACTTATCTAAGCAAATAGTATATACATGGTATTTCATTAGTACGTAATTGAATTAGTTTTCTGTAGTCCAGTACCATTTACTGAGCATTATGTCATATTCTGTGTATAATCAATAAATCTCGTACTCACCCAATAGTTGAATATTCACTGACTGCTAGATTGGTAGAATCAGCATGTAATGAGTTTTGCATGGTTGGGCTATATTTTGCCGAGTAGAAGCAACATTTGTCTGGAAGCAGGTTTGTTGCCTAGAGTTATTTGCTTAAACAGTTGCTTTATTTTTTTCTAGAGAGACTTTAAAACCACCAAATCCAAACTTCACCAGAAGTTCCCCTGAAAAGCTTGCATTTCGGGATGTTTTTTGCGTTTGTGAATTTACTTGTGCTGTGACCTTTGTGAGGCAACAACCACTTTACTATGAGAATTGTGCATTTTAAAGCCTGTCTCTTTTCAGGCATCGCGCATCAGTAGTCTTTAACTAGTACTTCAGTAGCATTGGTTGCATTACTACGAAACTCAAGCCGCTTCTATTTCAATTAGTGTCTAGTGCGTACTTTACTTGTACAAAAAACAGTCTTTTTAAGATTGAATTCATTTAGTCAATAGTCAGCTATATACTAAGTGCTGCAGTAGTTAAACTCGCATAGGGCGAATGTTTTGTATAATATACATTGAATATTTCATTCATGCGCAACAACAAAGTACTTCAGTGGACTTTCCGTATGGTATTTGATTAATACTTTGCCTTGCGAACCTACAATATCCAATAAAACAAAATTCTTTGCCCTTCGTTGCCAAGATAAATTAACACATACAAACTACAAAGCCAGCATTGCCCTGTCAAGATTCAAAACATAGAGTAGCCCCAATGCTGGCTTATCGGAGCCTGTGAGGTGGGTGTCCCAATTGTCCCAATAGCTGTCCTTCATTTCCCGGTGCTCAAATATGCGATTTTAGGATTCGTTCTTCTGACTATACTGAGAAAAGCTGAAGCAAGGGTAGGTCGTTGGGAGGGGGGACCGACACCGTTCCCACAGGACGATCGCACTTGATGGGTCGTCTCTTGTCCCTTGAGTTTTTGACCTGCTACTTGACCAACAGCCTCATCGAAAGTGAGTTCTCCGTCTTGTCCTCCTAGTTCACGAACTGAGCCAGGTATAGACTCACCTGGATATCTTGCCATAGCCCAAAACACTGGGATACTCACTTGATCTGAAAAGCTGTTTCGATGTGATCAAGGCCTGGCATGAAGCGTAGTAGCACTTCATTCATAGCATGTTCTCACATAAATAACGAAAAGGCAATTTCATAATTAAGATAAGAGAGATCACCACCTGAAGATTGAACGACAGTTCTCAAGTACGAGAGAGTAAAAAAACAGAAAAAAGTGCACGCCCACAGTCCCCCGGACTCTTTTGGAGTATCTTGAAGAAAAGTATCCCGAACGCCTTGCGCAGTCACTCCAAAGGAGTGCCGAATCCCGATCTTTGGAAATGCCAGATCTTATCAAATTATCAATGGAGATGGGAGATTTGCTTTCCAGCACGTGCCATTACTTCACCAGCTTGTGACCAGACGGACGTGCGCCAAACAAGCTTTCCAGTGCCATTCTTAACTCCTGAATGCTTGCCCTGCCTTCCTCTAGCCCGGCAGAAGACACTCGTCAATCCTATACTCAGACCCCTGAACCCTAAACCTCAAACCCCCCAAGAGGCCGACCAGCACAAATCCCTTCCAAAGTCCCTGAAGCCTGCTGCCCCCCCCCCTTTTCCTGGTGCTTCACATACGGCCAAGAAGAACCGTGGACCGCAAAGCATTCAGGGGGAAGGGGTAAGCCCTATTCCCATTAGCCCAAATTTTTTCGATATTGCTTTACGGGCAGCAGCATTTTGCATTGAAGCGGCGCATGCAAGCGAAATAACACCAAAAAACACAAACATGGTTTTTTTCGAAAAACCACGTTTTTGCACCGTGAAACCACGAAAACATCGACAAACGCAGTGTTTTCGGCCTGCGAGCCACCTTCAAAACAAGACACGAAAAAAAGGCACGCGCGATCACCGAAAGTACCACGCCTGCCATGGTTTTCACAAAACGACCTCTGAAACCTGCACTTTTTTTTGGACTAAAACCACGTTCGAAATCGTGCTCCCGCCTAGGCCAAATGCTTATTTGCAAAAAAGCGCACGACGGTTAACGCCCCGTGCGGTTTTTTATGAATTGAAAACTTCCTTTATACAAGACGCAACAGACTCAGCGTTATAAAGATGTAGGTAAGTTCATATAAGATGGATTTATTGAAATGGACGGTTAAAGAAAAGAAAAAACTTGAATTTCTGGTACTATAAGTCATAGTTTAGGTTCAGCATCGGGACAACAAAATAAACAATGATTATGGTAATGCATTCAGAAGTCGTAGTTATGGTTCTCCTTTTGTATCAGGACAGCGACCAGAAGACACTGGGACAAATTTAAGAATACCCCGTTGGTATGTTTGATTAAGGAAGTATAACATCAAAGAAATAAACCTTAGACCCTCTACAAAATCATCCTTATGAAGATATAGGCAATGTTAAAACAAAGCAGGACATCTACCTATAACCGAAGAAGAGTTTTAACAACAGTTTGATGCAATAATCGACATAATATTCATAGCGTTTCATAAGAAAGCAACAACATACGAAAAGATAGAGAAATCGAAGATAGAGAAGCAATTCAAACACAATGCTTACGAAGAGATAAGAAAGTTAGTTGAGAATTATGAAGTAGATGAAGCAGTTAAGCAGGTGAAAGGTAGGAAGAAGAACCATAGTAAAGACAATTCATATGGTTTTGAATCATTTGATTGAATACAAGTTGAAGGTATGTATATGTAGTTAAGTTAGCTATGATATTCATATATAATGGAAACTTTTAGTCCCGAAGATATCCTCATTGATAGTTTAAGTTTTACATGACACAAAGGTAGTTCTTATGTTAATTGTCAAGGGTTTAAGAACAAAACGGCTGCTGGATTTAAACCATGGCGTGGCCTCTTCTCACAAGTTAGATATTTGCCGTTAAAATATACGGGAAACTTAACAATTGAATTAGAATTAGTAACTAAGGCTGCTAATTTTTCAATTACCGCAGTCAGAATTTCAAGAGATATAGGGAAAACTCGAGCCGGCTCGGATTTTCCGAAAATTCTCGAGGCACCAGGTCACCAAAACTCGAGCAGGCTCGAATTTTCACAAAGAAAACTACATTCTGTCATCTATGAGGCCTTGGGGTCACACAGCCATGGTTTCAGCATTTTTTTTAGAAAGTTCGAGCCGGCTCGAATTTTCAAAAAAAACCTAACTTTCAGGATCTACCGGGCTGGAGCCATAGATCCTGAAACTCAGGTTTTTTTGAAAATTCGAGCCTGCTCGTGTTTGGGCGACCTACCGTGTCAGTTTTTTTTGAAAATTCGAGCCGGCTCGAATTTTCCTAAAGTTCTTAAAGCTTTAGGTCCCAAACTCGAGCAGGCTCGAATATTCCCAAAAAAATCCGAACTTTCAGGATCTATTGGGCTGCTGGAGCCATAGATCCTGAAATTTTGGTTTTTTTTTTGAAAATTCGAGCCTGCTCGTGTTTGGGCGACCTACTGTGTCAGTTTTTTTTGGAAACTTCGAGCCGGGTCGAATTTTCCGAAAATTCTTGAAGCACCACGTCTCGAAAACTCGAGCAGGCTCGAATTTTCAAAAAAAAATCTAACTGTCAGGATCTACCGGGCTGGAGCCATAGATCCTGAAATTTAGTTTTTTTGGAAAATTCGACCTACTGTGTCAGTTTTTTTTTGAAAATTCGAGCCGGCTCGAATTTTCTAAAAAAGCATGATTTTTTCGGGTATTTTCTACCTTGTTGATGCAAATGACCTGCCTGACTTGAAATGATATAGGTTTATATCGGCCCTGTCGGTGTGTTTATCTCCAGCTCATGGCCCCTCTCCTCCCAAGATCCATCTGTTTCGAAGCAGAAACGTGGATCATGGGGGGGGGGGGGGTGAACATCTATATCTATATCTTTATCTCTACCTCCCTATCTACATGTATGCATTTAAAAAGCCAAGAAGACTAACAAAGATGCTCCAGAGTTGGAGGGGCGCAGCCCAAAGAAAGCTTGAAGCTGAGCAGCAACGGGTTAATTTTCGTAGAGTGAGCGCAGATTGGTCCAACTTGGTACAGGGTTGTGTCGTATAGTTTGCATTTGTCTATGGTGTCCCAAGTCTGCGACGTCCTTCAGCCCCGGAATGGACTGAGTGAGTGAGTGGGTGGCTGGGTGGGTGAGTGAGTGAGTGAGTGGCTGGGTGGGTGAGTGGGTGGGTGGGTGAGTAGGTGGGTGAGTGAGTAGGTGAGATCAAGTTGGCAACTGGAGTTCCTTGACGCGGACCCGCAGCACATGTTACATGTTGTTATTAAACGCGGGCACCGTGTGACACGAAGGACTTCAGCATTGGCAGGTTATACAAAGTCTCAACAGCTGCCAAGTTGTCCTTGCTTCTTGGGTTGGCCTTAAGTCTTGCGCCGCCCTCAGACGTAGTGGCTGGTGTGTCCTTTCCGTTTTCCTTCACCCTCAGCAGCAGGGCTGAAGCCAGATGCGCTGCTAAGGAACGCCTTACCAGGTCACGATAACATCGGCATTTTCAGTCTCATGATGACAAAGCAACAACAGCACTTTCGGCCTGCTGTGGGCTGTTAAAGGTTGCCAGAATCTGGAGGTCAGAGTACCATATCCTACCTTTGAGCCATGAAGCAGCGGCTCCGGCGAGTGGACTCCTTTGAGCAGGTCAAGAACTCTGGGCTGTTCCGCGTCGTCTCATTTCTCCAGGCAGACTGCTCTGTAACGAGGGTCACCAAGCATGCGGTTCCCATATACAGCTAACTCTCCGGGCGGGATAAAGATCCTAAAAATCTCTTCTGTCCCATGAGAACAATGAAGTCAAGATGCTGCACGGAGTCCGCCTAGGCCGAATCGGAAATCACAGAAGGACAGTTTTTTTGTGCACACTAAAGTAGTGTTCCATAGATTTCTGTAGTAGCATACTTCAAAGATACTGTGACAGATTCCTTAGCAGGAGGTGCCCAGAAGGGCGTGAGCAATGAGATGACAAACCCGCGAGGCCTTCAACGCCTCTAAACGGGTTTCCTCACGTTTCCTCACGCCCACCTTTCCACCCGATGACCCGAACCTGGCCAAGCGATCTACAACTACTGCACAAATTGCTTGGCTGCGGATAGTGCCACCAGTGCCTCAGAGATGGTACGACATAAGGGTTGCCACAATGTCTTGTGTCTGTGTCTGCAGAGCCATATTCTTCCAACCTACGCGAAAACGAGGAACTGCCTCGACGGATCAAATGTGAAGTAACGACAACCAAGGCTTTCTACTCAAAGCAGTACAAACACGCAGATCACAATCCGAATGGTGAGCATCGCAAGAATCAGAGGCTGATTGCTCATGGGGGCCAGCCCACAGTACCTCAAAGTCTCCAGGTCCCCCAACACCTCCCACGCCCCTCCTAAAACTCCAGAAGCCCTAAACCAGGCCCCTGAAGCCTGAAGCCCTAAATCCTTCCAGGCACGGGACTAAACGTCTGAGCCTGTGTTGAGCTACCAGGTTCTCCAGTCTCAGGGCATCACGTTTGCTGGTGGTCTGCATGGTATTGCGGGTGCTGGTGCCTTGCCCACCACGCAGAGCTTCAACTCCGAGGAGTTTGAGGCAACGCAAAAGGTGGACGAGGCGGATGTTTTCATCAGCCACACCTGGACTTCAGAGACGTCAGGCCGCTGGTCAAAGTATGCGGCGCTCTGCCTTTATCTGAACTTCAGGTTGGCCCTTGGCATTGCAGTCGGCTCATGGATGTCTGTGATTTGCTTCCTCGCCGCAACAGGTGTCAGTGCCTGGGGGGGTTGCAGGTACCTTGTTCTGGCGGGTGTGTATGCTCCCACGCTGCTGTTCTTCCTCGCCTTTTTCTTCGGACACAAGCTGAGCAGCCTCGTGTACAAGGTTCCCACGGTCTGGCTGGACAAACTCTGCATCAATCAGATCGACGAGGCCATGAAGGTGCAGCAGGTAAAAGCGCTACCAGTCTTTGTTGCACGCTCGCGGGAGCTGTTGGTACTGTGGAGTGATAGCTTGTTTGAACGGCTCTGGTGCAATCTGGAATCTAGATCATTGAAGCACATTTTCTTCTTTGTGAAAAATGCAGGCACGACAGGAGGGCTAAGGCTTAAAGGAGAACTTGGTTACTAATCATCCAAAGAATGACCCAGGAATTAGCCATCTTCTTGAAATATGGCAATGTGGACAGGGTGCGGTTTGGGCCCCTTTGGTTGGTTCCATGGCTGTTGTCGTCTATGTTCCTTGATCTTGCCAGCACCTCGCTCCTGGAGCTCCTCGAGATACTTATCCCAAATTGGACAGCTTTCTTCATGGAGCCACTCAATATCCTTTTTGCAAAGATCTTCAACGTGGAAGAAGGCTCTAGGTTGTCCGGGTTCCTGGCAGCCTTAGCCATATGGTGCTTATCGGGACTTTGTTATTTGCCCACATCGATTCCTGGATTTGTGGCCTTTCGGCGCAAACTTTTGAATCACAAGCTCATGCTGGAGCAAATGTCAAGCTTTGACATCCGAGCTGCAAAATGCACCATAGACGGCGACCGCCAGCTCATTGAAGATCAGGCTGGGAGGATCAAAGGTGGTGTTTGCTGTTTGGTGCTACATGACTACATATGACATAACTTAAAGCGAAAATCGGCTACCCTTCCCAGGTGGTGGAACTCTGCGGGCAGGCTTCATTTGCAGACAGCTTGGAGAGCTCAGGCACGCTGCCCGATGCTTCTCCACGGCCCAACAATGCATCTGAGAACAGTAGGGAGGAGGCTCTCGACCTCTTCAATGCCTACGTCCGGGGACCTTTGCAAAGTGAAGTTGTGAAATCCATCGGGCATGAGGCCCACGTGCCATACCACCTTTGCGTGGTTGCCTTCTTGCCTATGAGCTTCTACTCACTGGTGAACACTCTTGGCTGTGACAGTGGCCCCTGTGAAACTTCAGCCAAGAGTGCAGGCTTTGAGTCAGTGGAGTGGTATTTAGCAGCGCAGGCATTTGCTTGGCTGTTGTGCCTCCTTCTCACCTTTCCGCTCACGCACCCCATCCTCTTAAGGTTGATCCGGCTGGTCATGTCCTGCAGTGAAGGTCACTTACAGACCTTTTTGGCAGTGCTTTGCTGCCCCATAGCATATGCCTACTCCTACGTCTGTGGGGGCATCATATGGGGGCTGACCTTTGTTTCCATCCAAGATTACTCGCCAGACTGGCTTGCAGCGCTGGTGTTGTACATCGCCTGCCTGGTTGCACAAGCCCTTCTGCTTTTCAGAAGCCCCAGGCCTAGCAGTGGATCTGGCCATGCCAATGCAGATTCCACCATCCTTAGATGCAGCTGCGCTGGGCGTCAAGTTGTTGTACAGTGGGAGGAGGTTCGACCCATGCTTCCGCCGGCAGGCTCTTGAGTGGGGACTAGAGATGATGTGTTGAAAAGTCAGCTGTGGCGTTCCCACTTCCTCCATGTAGTGTGGGGTCTACGGTCAGGGCCGCCCCATTGCTTATGCTTCCCCAAAAGCAGGGTTCTATGCGAACACGTTGGTTTCCCAAAAGCAGGGTGATATTTGAACACGCTGGTTCCCCAAAATGCTTCTTCGGATGGTTTAGATCTGGGCCTCGTGTCTGCCAAGGGTGGTGAAGAGCCGCAAGAAGCAGGCGAGGCCATAGCTGACAGTTTGACCAAGTCGCACGAAGTATCCATGGCCCGGTAGCCTCGGGGATGGATGGCGATGTTCTTCTGACCCGACCCTGCCACTCAGGGAGTGGGAGTTTACGCAAATAAGGGATCCTGTTTTTCGATCTGCCAAAAAGTAGGATTCCCTGATAATAAGGACCCCAAAAAAGTACCCCTCATTTCGGAAACATGTTGATGGGTTCCCCCTACGTGCGACAGCAGCAGCAGCAGCGCAAGGGCCGTCCCATGGGGGTCCTCGCGCGGACCTCGGCACTACCTCTAAACTTCGGAGGAATTCGTGTGTTGAGGGTTTAGAAAGCTTAGGGTCTACCGAGTCTGTGTGGGTCTACAGGGTTTCGGGGTTTAGGGCTTAGAGATTCGGAAGATTTCATACCAATGAACCCACGATGACAGAGAGGTTGGCTTTCCCTGAATACAGGGCTTCCATGTCCCTCGCCTATGCCTTCGACTGGTGATGGCACAAGTTCTAGCATGTATTGAAGACCGCTCGTGAAAATTGTGCTGTCCAGACAGGCCTCAGCACGTGTTGGAGTCATGAACGTCAACCGTGAAACTCACAAGCCGACACGTTGTTAGTATGCTCTGCTACAGTCAAGTCGAGATTCATACGTCAAAGGAAAGGGGCCGAATCCCTACAGAGACCCAGCCAAAGTTCCACACCCGGCAAAGATATGAACCACGTCTGCACCTTCTGTTCCAAAACGCGTCTGCCGTGACATTCGCCCTCAGAGGCAACTGCCAGAGAACTGTGCCTCTTCATGTTGTGTTCTCGTTATTCTCTCTCTCTCTCTCTCTCCCTCTCTCTCTCTCACTCACGCAGCAAATGCATTTAATGTGCAGTACCGACAGAATGCCTAATGTAGCGCTTTACACGCCGTTTTTACAGCTTTTGTTGGGCTAGGGCTTTACAGCTTCAGCCTTCAGGGTTTCGTGCGTAGTGTTTTTGGTGCTTTTGGATAGAGCTCCGAGTTCAAAAATCAAGCAGCATCCTGACCGATGGCCCCCCCAAGTCGCAAGATCGAGAACATTAATTGGCGGCACAAGCCTTTGTTCTTGCCCTTATTCTTATCCTTCTCCTTCTTTTTTCGTGTGAATAGTATGCATTTTCCCTTTTTCGGTAAGCTATATTTGCATGTTTCAAGCCCTAAGTACGGCGGTGCGGGGAGCGGAGGGATTTTCGTTGAATTGTAGTACAAATGTAGTACTGGGAGGACAGAGCCGGAGGGGCGCGAGTGCAGACTGCGTACCCTCCCTCCTTTTCCTGTATGCATCATAATGGAACAAAAGAGACGAATATGACGAACAGAATTGAGCATGGTACAAGGACAAGAAACTACTACTAGTAAGTTTGTTAAAATCGAATCTTTCTCTCTGCCGCTTCATCCTTCCTTTCTCGTTCTCTTTTTGCTCAAAGACAAGGCAATAACTTTTGTTCCTGGTCAATGTGCAGCAATGACTCGGGAAGGTCGTGGCACCCAAGAAGGAGAGCCTTGCCGAGGCCCAGTTCTCCTATAACGCAATGATGGAGAAGCTCAATGCCAAGCGTCTGGGGCTCGACCGACATTCAGAGCCCGAGACGTAGAAACCCTACTTCTCTCAAATTCCAAAACACAACTCGCAGAATTGCGCTTTCCCCTCGGGGCCTCTTAGAGTCCCTCACGACAAAGTCAGATCCAGTTTACCTCTGGAGATTTTTTCTGTGGCTTACCTGTGGTTTGTGACTTAAGGATTGCTGAAATAAGGCAAATTGAGGATTATGGCTGGGCTTAGGACATTTTAGGATGTGACTCTGTGCCCTCAGCACCTTGGACATGTAGCCCTGAAGCAAGAAACAGCTCGACCCGAAAGAAGTCTCGGTCACGAATGGGACGGCATCTGAACTGTAGGGTTGACACGGGTCGACGTGGGGCGAAGCAGCTTGCATCAGGCCTCGGTTAGTTTTGGACCTTCTTGACGGGGCTGAACCCTAAGCCCTTGATACCCCGTCCAGGTCACCGACCATGTGCTGCAACCGCTTCTCCTCGTGCGGGCTGTGCTGGCTTGCATTCTTGCCCATAGCTATATTGAATCATTTTAAATCGGCACGGAATTTTTCCAAATCCATTACTGGATAGATTAGGAAATCAATATTGAGAAATAGATTGGAATCGGGTTTGGAAGTTCGTGGGGCGTCTTACCTTTTTCCAGTCGACAAGCGTTAAATGTCGTCAGAGATGCAATCACCAAGGGTTGTGCAAATTCAATAATGGCGTCTCTACAGTGGAGGTCACACCCTGCTGCAAATCTTTTATTTGCGATTGATGGAGGTCATACCCTGTCAGTGCAAGGGGGAGATTACGCCAATACTTTAAGCGTAGTGAAACTAAATCAGAATATTGCATGATTCTTTGATGATTGCATCACGACGATAATAAATGTTGTAGCTGCATATTCGAGGACGTAAGCCTTGTTCAATTCGATCTTCGAGAATAAATCG